ATTAACATAAATTACAAATAAATAATAAATACATTAAATAATAATATAATAAAAATAAATAAAATTAATATTCTACACTGTGATTGCCTCATCCAAATTTGACTATAGGTTTAACATGATAATCACGTAATAGTTCTTTGGTTGTTTCCAACAGTATTCCCTTCTATCTAATCCATAAATCATAAATTTTGATTCATCAGGTCAGATTACTTTGCTCCAGTCTTCTATAGTTCATTTTTGATATTTTCTTGTGAACCTCATACAAGTAATTCTATGTGTTTTTTTAAGATATAGTTTTTTGCACTTTACTTGTGCACCCAAACCATTTCAGTGTAATGTCCTCTTTATTATACACTCGCTAATATCAATTTGATCATCAGTTCTTAATTTTTTTTAAATTGCAACTGCATTTGTACACTTGCCTGTTGTAATTAATTATACAACATTTTGTTCAATATGGTTAGTTATGAGTCTTGGACAACCAGATTTTGGTTGATTCTTAAATGTACCAGTCTTATCTTTACATTGTTTAATTCTTATAACTGTTGATTGTAAAATATTTTCTTTATTTGCTACATAATGAGAAGGATATCCTTCTTCAAGTAGTACATAAAACTGGGCTCTTTTTTCAACAGGTAAATATACCATGAATAGTTTAAAAAAAAATTAATAACAGAGTAAACAGAAAGGTACCTTTTTTATATGTACTACATGGTGTGTTTAGAAGAAAAAAAATTTTGTATATCTTGTTTATGTTAATTTTTCAAAATGATCAAAAAAAATGCATTGCGAGTTCTGAACATTATTTTTATTTCTGAAAAAATTTTCAAAATAAATAAAAAAAAGATGATGCAGGGGATAAATATAAGGTTTGCAAAACTATTAATGAAGTATTGTAGCACTGTGTTTCCAGAATTACAAGATATTAAAATTTTAAAAAATTTGTTCAGGTGATGCAATACTTTTGATCGCCACTGTAAGTATTTCTGAAAATGAAAAAAAAAAAATAATAAAATCAAAAATAGTAAATACAACTTCAAATTTGATCTTAAATTAGAAATGAAATAAAATTATATTATAAAAAATAATCAATTTAATCGAATAATTACTTGCTTCACTACGATGTGGATAATTTTTTATATCAAAGAAAGTGTTATCTAATAATACCATAAAACATTCCCCATACCAATCAAGTTTTTCGTTTGTTGGATTGGAAAGATTCTTCTTTCTCTGAGGAAATAATATGAACTTATGAAATCTGGAATTATGTCTACTTGATAAAATACTTTAACAGAAATATATGAAAATGCTCCATTGAAAGAAATTTCATTTAACCTCTTTTTAAAATAAGAAAAATGAGATTGTAAAATATAGAATGAACCTCTAATAATTTAAGGCCTTCGATTGGAAATAGAGATTATTTGAAAAATAATAATTTTAATAATATTTGTATAAAATTATTCAAATTCAACTTAAGAATAATCGTTGAAAACAGTATTTGTCAACCCTTTATTAAAGTAAGATGAACGATAATCAACAAGTGTGCAATGAAAGTTTTTATTTATTTTGTTCTTTTTATCATTAAAAAGTTCTTGAGATAACTTTTTCAAAAAACTCAAATGTCATTTTAGGATAATTTTTTAGAATTTAAATTTCTTTTGCAATTTTATAATAGTTGAATTATTAATATTAATCAGAGATCTTTTCATCTAAACCTAAATAAAATGTTGGATCTTTACCGACATATTTTTTTTGAAAATATATAATCATTTGATTAAAAATAAAGTTATGATTTTAAATGACAATATTGATAACGAGTGGTATGGTATTGAAGAATACTTAAATTAGAACTAAGTGAGTAATGAAAATAAAAAAGTAAGGTAGTAAAACTAACTTCTCTGACCAAAATTTAATTTTTAAATATGAATAAGAATTTTAATAGATAGGTATAATTAAAGAAATAAGATTACAATTTTCTTTCCTTTGAAATTAAAAAAATTTCAGCTTCCGAATCGAGAACATGATATGGTTTTATACTACTTTGACGTACAAAAAATTCTATCAATATTTTGTTCTAACCTATTTTTTTAAGATAATAACAAAATTTACTTCACTGTCAACTTAAAATTTATTAAATGAAATTAATTTCTACAATATTTTGCGCACAAGCTAATATAATTGTGATATTTGTTGTAAATTAATTTTATTAAAAAAAAAAGAAATTAATAAAAATAAACGAAATCCCAAGTATTAAAAAATAATAAATATCTTATCAGTTATTATGGAATAAATTATAATTAAGTGTATAGCATATATATATATATTTAAAAAAAAATCATTCAGATAATTAATGTAAAAATAATGCATTTATAGTATAAATTATTATTTAATAACTTTTGTTTGAATATTAAAAATTTAAGATTATTGGATAGGTGAAGATTTATATGATTTCATGTACCAACGTAATGCTTTCTTTTCATCTTTGGTAGTACCGATCCCATAGAAATAACAATTCGCAAGACTAAATTGTCCACCACTATTTCCACCTTTAGCTGACTGTATATACCATTGAAATGCTTTCTCATCATCTTTTATAGTTCCAATACCAAGGTGATAACAATAACCAAGTTTATTCTGTCCATCAGTATTTCCTTCTTCAGCTGATCTCAAGTACCAGTGAAATATTTTAAGTTCTTCTTCTGGCTGCGGAAGCAATTTTAAGTTTAAAGATTTATGCATGGATATTGTTAAATTAACCGTGGCAGCTAAATTACTTCCAGTGTAAAATGAGATTTCCGGAACTACATTATAATTAATAAAAAAAATTGGAGACAGCAATTATTATTGGAAAAAGTGTGATAATGAATGTAAATTAAGAATAATAATTAAATTATAATTTATGAAAATTTACCGGAAACCTGACCACTGTTCATGAGTTTTATCCAAAGATCCTCATGTTGGGAGGAAAAATTAATCCGATGATCCCCAAATTCAGTTCTGGAGTAGTATATTTGCAGCAGCATTGAAAAATCGGAATCGGGAGAAGCCACAACCGGGAGAATGATCCCATGTGGGCATTCAGTGTCAGTAGTATTGAAGTATTTTTCGGTGCTTTCCTTTTCATTCCCAAGAATCACCCGTAAACAACCCTTGTGTCCATTAAGATTTTTCCTGGTTTAAGAAAAGTCAAGATAGATTAGAATGTGATTTAAAGATTTGGTTTAAAATTAATTAATTAATTAATAAATACACTTTGATATTATCAATTATCATTATCCCAATTATCTGGCCACGTAATGCTTCGAGTTGTCGCATACGTTCTTTGGGCGCTTCCATTGCGAGAAACATGAGGTATAATGTTACCCCACCAACATTTTCTTTATTCCGAAATAGTCCCAGTTGAACTTTTTAATCAAAACAATACCAATAAGAATTAAGTTATTAGTCAAACAATAAAGGTAATTATATGATAATTAGACAATAAATAGACGATAAATAAGATATACCTTTTCTGCCATTGCCTATATCATTATCAGGTGGCTCATTTTCATTAAGGACGTCCGTGAGGGTGTCTCTAGTAATACCCAAAATAGGTCCGACATCATTTCCATCGTGACAAGTTATCTTGAATTCTCCGGCAGCTTCGGTAACAAGAAGGGTGATTGATTCAGTATAATTGGCTTCCTTTCTTCCATCATGATCTTTTCTATTAATAAAAAAAATGGCAAAACATGAAAAGAATGAATCAAAGGAATTATCACCAAATATTTAGGAATTCTTACAGTCGAGCAGATTTGGTAGACTTTTCGTTATTCCCATATTGGACTGTTAAACAAACTCTTCTTTTGTGTAAAAATGAAAGCCGTTGGTGTATTACATTATGGTTTAAAGTACTATTATATGTAAAGTATAAACAATTGAACAAAAAAGATATTGGATAAAAAGTAAACGGATGAAATATTTTTATTACCATTTAATGTTTTTCACTACTAGGATTCCAATTTTCTCTATCATTATTGATAATATTTAACAATAATAAAAAAGACATGATATGAAACGAAAAAAAATAAAAACAAAAGAGCATCAGCGCAAATAAAAATAGTTACCAAAGACCATTTAAAGTATCTGAGATGATCGAAATACGGATTTTTGTACTACATGTTGTAATCTTTCATTTTTTGATTGATAACTATTACTATTGGCTAGTCATTTTAAATTTTTTATTCTATAATAGGTAACTTATTTAAAAATGAAAAATAATTAGATTTCGGATGATAATTTTTAAATTTTGGCACCGGACTCTAGAAATTATATATGACTTTGTACAGGGTAGTGCATTTATTTCAGGCAGGGTTGTGGTCGTATACTGTACCAGCAAAATTTTAGTACAAGTACATAATTTGTACTATGTACTAGTGTACTTAGTACACCTCTATGTGAAGTACAAATATTCTTAGTACAGTTAGTATAATTAGAACATAGTCGAAATTTTTTATCATCACAGATATTTGATATGTTCATCAAAATTCTTTTATTACTGAAACTCTAAGTTGTAATATTATATCAGTAAATTTTAATAGGCGAAGACCTCCGGAGGATTTTCGTTGCTAGTGGAGGAATTTTTACGTTTTTCAAATCAAAATCTTTAAATATCATATGATTTCATGTTACTAAATTTGAAATTTCGTAGTACTAGTCAGTACAAAATCCCGACCCTGATCCTAGGGAAAAAGGAATTTACGACAATAAGTGCCTTTGTTAAAATTTCCTTTTTTTAAATTTCGACAGTATGAAAACATGTGGGTTCTATATAACAAAAGCAAAATATAAATAATAATAAAATATAAAAAAATAATAATATATAGCAATTCTCCTGATAATTTAAAATTTCTAATCATTCAGCAATTCTGTAAATAATCTGTTTTATATATAAAAAAAATATAAATTAAAATAAATAAAATAAAATATTACTTTGATGCAGTAATTCATCTAATAAATCTGAAGTTTCTAATTATTTGTTTAATTGAAACTATTAAAGTAATGACATTTATCAAATTTTTTTTAGGACATATAAAGATATATTGCTCGTGTTCTTGAATGCAGATTAACGTTAGAGGTTTAAATTAGAACTAAATTCACAGATATGTAAATTACAGATGATAAAAAACTTGAATTATAATTGTTGAAATAATCATATTCATTTTTTAAAAAAAAATTCACACGAATTGCATCTTTTAAATTATAATTTCCATATTATGAACAATTCTAATTTTATTACCTAAAAATTTCTGATGCATTCAAAAATATATACAGTCGACTTCTCTATGGGCACACCCTTCGGGATCAACAAATGGTGTGACTAAAGAGGGAGTTCTTATTACGAGGGAATTTTAATATGGTCTCTTATATATAGGGACCAAGCACTGTATGATTATAAAAGGAAGTTTTTATACTGGGGTGCCTTTAGAGGGAATCTACTGTATTTCCTTTTACCAAACTATAACGCACAACATTTGTATACTACTAAACTTATATATTACAGTAATCAAGTTTTCATAAATAAACGGCGAGCTCCGAAAAGGCAAAAACAACTCTTTATATTTCATTTTATAATTCAAGAAAATCATATATTTTAAGGATTAAAAGATGTATTTCTTATATAATTTATTTAAATTTATTCTTTACATTATTTTTAATTAATTCAATTTTATGCTATGACTCAGCTCAAAGATTATATCATAATAGTGTAATAATAAATGATCGAATCTTGATAATTTCTGGAGTTAAATTAAATTCTTCTCGATTGTTTGAACTATTCTATTTGAATTTATCAAAGTCATTTAATTACAAACTTTAATTGTGAAGGAGATATATATGTACGGTTCAACTGCTACGATAATTCTACAATATTTCTAATCGGATATATAATAAAATAAAAATACATTCAATTTTGATTATTCAAACCAAGTTTACATATGATTACCTTATTCTAAATAGACTACACCATCAATTACTGGCGATAATATTCCTAACGGGCAGCAAATGACAGGAGTAATTGACGATTTAGGAATTATATGTATATTTGGTGGTTTAATATCACTAATTTTACAACGCTTGCTGAAAAAGTTTACAATCAAATGAATCATTCGATACTTCTTCAATGCTTGGAAAAATTTGATCATAACTAAATAATCTTCCTCCACTGAGCAGTGACTATTCAGCTAACATTTTACCAAATGGAATTATTGTTTATATTGATGGACAAGAAAAAAAATGACACTCTTGCAAAAATAAAAAATGTAAGTACGTAATTTAAATATAAAAATGTTAATAAAAATAGATTGGTCATATATGGTAATTTACTATTATAAAGTATTATAATTTATATAAGATAAATATACTTTTCAATTATATTTAGTGTGTAACATATGTGCATATATAATAAAAATCGAATCATTTTCACTCACCATAAATAAATTTTGAATTGTTTATCATGTCACAAGAGGGGATTGAAGATATTTTTCGAAAAGAAAATATTCCATTTTATCAATTTTCTGAATTTCAGAATGTTAAATTGATTACTGACAATATTTTTAAAGCTTCTTTTAAAATTTCTCAAAAAATTGTCACTCTTAAAAATGTTTATTTAAATGATAATGATAAATTTACATTGGATAATTTGATAAAAGAAGTATGTATATTAAATTATTTATTTATTATTATTTTATTAATCTTAATTTACCGTTAATTATTTTTATAATCTTATGTTTATTTTTTTAATTGAAAAAGATTAAAAGACATCGGAAATTGGAAATTCATGATAGTATTCTTAAATTCTATGGTGTTACTAAGCAAGGTAAAATATTTAAAATATTATGCTTAATATTTTTATTTTAATTTTATTTATTTAATTTTATTTTTATATTTATAGAGATTACCAACAATTATATGATCATCTTCGAATATGTTGATAATGGTTCTCTTCGTCAATATTTGAAAACCAATTTCCATAAATTGGATTGGAATGAAAAATTAAATCTTGCAAAACAAATTGCAAAAGTTTTGATGTTTTTACATTCTAATAATATCATTCATGGAAAATTCGTAATTATCTTTTTTTTTTTTTAAAAAAAAAAAAAAAAAAAATATTAAAAATATTATTATTTAAAATTAAATTTCATAAATCAATTAATTTTAATTTTATTATTTATTTAATTAGAATTCTGAAAGTATTCTTATTCATGACGGGATTATTAAATTAAATGTTTTTAGATTAACTAAAATTATTTCCGATCCTTTAAGATTCTTTACAAATAAACTTGGCCCAATACCATACATAAATCCAAAATATTTGGAATTCTTCAGCACGATTGGCAAAAATAAGAGTTCTGATATTTTTAGTCTAGGAATTAATCTTTGGGAGATTTCTAGTGGTAATCCTCCTTTCGAAATGAAATCTTTATCAAATTTTGATTTGTTAAACAACATTTCAAAAGCAAAAAGAGAGACGGATGTACCCGGAACACCTCATAAATATAAGGAAATATATACTGGTATAAATTTAAATAATCTATTAAATCATTTATATTGTAAACATAATAAGTTATTAATGTAATAGCATTATATTTTTTTTTGACAGATTGCTGGAAGCACAATGGAAACTCACGACCAGATATTTCCCAAGTTGTTAAAAATCTTTCTGAAATCATTATCTCTGATGATACAAGCGTTGAATTAGAAACTCCTCAATCACAACCTTATAATGTCACAGATATTAAATTGGAAAATTTAAATATGTAATTTGTATTTTTTAATGTTTTTTATATATATTAAAAATCTTCAGAACAGTTATTAAATATAAAATTCTTCTTTATTAAGGAAAAATGAAGAACCTGCTCATTTTGTTGATATTACGACTGAAGTTGATGGTTTTATTAATGATCTGTTTGAATTTTATTCCGATGTGCACAGAAAAAAGTTTCGAACGGAAAAACCAATTATTATCAAAAATTATATTAGAGAACACAAAAAGAATCCAGCTGAAATTCTATTTGAAATGATTCATCATCCATATTATTATTTGTTTACTAGCTTAATAGGATTTTTTTACTGGTATGGCATTGGGACTGTTATTGATTATCAAATGGCATTTAAATTCTTTAATTTTGCTACCAATGAAATAGTTGATACCTCATCTTTTAATTCCTCATATTTAAGGAAAATATATAATATCAACAAAGAAATTAATACCTTCTCTCTTGCAAGTATGTATTTAGATGGTATAGGTATTGAAAAGGATACAAAAAAAGCTTTTCAGATTTATTATAAACTTTTTAATGAAGGATCTCTTATAGCTTTGAATTCGGTAGGATATTGTTATAATAATGGGATTGGTGTTGAAAAAAATAAAGAAAAAGCTTTTAAATTATATTTAAAATCTGCAGAAAAAGGAACTTTAGTATCACAACATAATGTTGGTTGGTGTTACGAAAATGGAATGGGAATATCAAAAGATGAAACTAAAGGATTTCATTGGTATATAAAATCTGCACTTGCAGGAAACACTTGGGCAATGTGTAATACTGGTTATTGTTACGAGTATGGTATAGGTGTGAGTGTAGATGAAAAAGAAGCATTTAAATGGTATCTGAAGGCTGCTGAAAAGGAACATGATGCGTCACAATTTAATGTAGGAAATTGTTATAGAATTGGTTGCGGAATTGATGTTGATCAAGTGAAAGCATTTGAATGGCATAAAAAAGCTGCAAAAAATGATTATACTGATAGCCAATACATTCTTGGAAAATGCTTTTATGAAGGATCTGGAACTAAGAAAGATATCATAAATTCCATCTACTGGTTGAATAAAGCAAAGGAAAATGGGAATACATATGCCAATGAATTATTAAAAGAAATAATCAGTAATATAATATAATAGTTAAAAAAAAAAATAAAATTTTTTTTTATATTTTAATGATAATGATTATGTTTATTTTTAATTAATAAAATTTATTTTTTGACTAAATATATTTTTCGAATGCATTTTGATATTTTTATTTGAAATCAATATTTATCGTAATTTTGGAATTTGTATTAAATTACGACAAATATTTAAAAAATAAATTTAGATGAGATAAAGATATATGTATTTTAAGGTAAGTAAATAATGTCAACGAGATTTAAACTTTCATTCGATATTCTTAATTTATAAAAATTATAATAGAAAATAAATATTATGCGTTTTTTAGGATATTTAAATAAATATGAGTTCTTTTGGACTTGTAGCATATAGAATTCAAAAGGTTTGAATGTTTTAACATTTAAAACATAAGTATTTATTATTTAATAGATTTGAAATGCATTAATTAATAATCTTCGTTTTATATTATTATTATTATAGTTATAGGTTTATTAGAGTAAATACATAGATATGAAGTTGGAATATAAATACATATTTGTAATATGATAATAAAATAAATATATTATAAAAAATTATAAATACAAGTTATTTATAAAATTAAGTATAAATTTGGAACTCTTAGAAATTTATTTTAGAGAATATTGATGTTTTTATTACTTTCCTATTCCATCATCTTTTATCATATAAATATTAATATATTTCTCATATATCACTCATGTAATATATTAAAATTAGTGGAGCCATATGAAAAAATGCAATATTATGTTAGAAAATGATATTGTACATTTCCTAGACTTAAAACATGAAAAAAGAACTCAGGCTAGCTCTCGTATTTCATTTATTAGCACTATAAATAATTTGTGAATATTTATAATTTAAACAATATAAACAGTCTTTTCTCAATAAAATGGTCTCCTTTTCTTAAATTATATCTATAGGTTATTGTTAAAGAAATAATCGAAAAGAAAGAATAAAATAATTTTGTACTTTTCAACAAAATTTATTTATAATAAAACAACAACATCGATAATGCTCATTCAATTTCATTGAGACTTATATTCAAAAAAAAATAAAACCTACCATACTATAAGCGAACAAAACTTTGAATGGTAATTGGTAAAAATGATTTTGAAAAAAATGATACTTATTCAAGATGCTCAACTAAATACAGATTTGGCATAATAAAGTAATAGAATGGATAGATATTAAAAAAAAATTATCAAAGGGTTGTTTTTAATTATTTATTATTGGAAGATATGATCAACGAGACAGATGTTATTAATTTTATATTTTATAACCAATTGGTAATGAATAAAAATAAAAATTTATTTTATATTTTTGATAAATGGTTTGAAATAATTTTTTTTTTTATTTTCAAAAACAAATAAGGATATCTATTAGGTAATTAGTTAACATGGTTTAAGTACGAAAGCTTATCTAATATTTATTTAATAGTTTATTTTAATAAAATTAACATTTTTAGAATACGTGTCAAATACATAGGTTATTACTTTTACAACTACAAGTAAAACCTAAATTAATGAATAATTTATATAGATAAAATAATAAAAATATCAATAAGGTCCAAAAAAATATGTAATTATTGTAAGCAAGATTAATTTCTCAAATAATATTTTTTAAAATAAAGAAATTTGATCTGCTGTATTGCTTTTCTTCCTATCAAGTAATCGGAATAAAAAATAAAGAATTCCTGAGTAGAGAATATTAAATTTATTAAATCATTAGATATCCAGCAGTAGTTGATATTAAATTTTCAAATTTATAAAAATGACCAATTTTTTTTTAATTAATTAACAATCATTTTTATCTCCATTTATTATTATTATTTTAATAATATCATCATCATTATTATCATTATTATAAGAATTATATAATTATAATAAAAAATAAAACAAATAAAAAACAACAATTAATATGTGAATTATTTTTTATATCAAAGGAAGATAGTATTATCTAATAATACTATGAAATATTATTTCCCAATACCAATAGGTGTTAGATTCTTCTTTCTCTATAGGAAATAATCTAATCTAATTAATGGAGTTATGCTTACTTGAATAACATGTAAGCAATGCAAATAAATATCTATTTGAAATTAAATGCTATTTAAACTTATCAATGTGACGTTCTCTTTTGATTTCATTTAAAATAATAAAATCAATTATTCTTGAGTAAGGCTTATTAATGCACTAGAAAGTATTCTTGAATTAAATTAAATAATTGAATAAATTTATACAGATACATCTTAATATTATTAAAATATTATTTTCATCTAATCTACAATTTTGAAGACCTTAAATTATTAGAGGTTGATTCATATTTTCATCACTGAGAGCAATATTAAAGTAAGATCAAGTGTAATGAAGGATTTTTTATATTTATTTTGTTCTTCTTTACCATTAAGAAGTCTTGAGATAACTTTTTCAAAAACTCAGATGTCATTTTTAAAATAATTTTTTAGATTTCTTTTATAATTTTATAAGAATTAGAGGTACAAACTTTAATATAAAGAATGAAATCGTTTTTATGAGTTTTAATATTAAAAGAATAATCAATCAGGATGACTTAGCCTTTTTTTTTTTTTTGAAATATTATTATTTTCCTTTTCATTTATTTGATTAAAAAGTAAATGATTTTTAATTGACTATACTGATAACAAGAAAAATGAGTGGTATTGAAGATGAAGAAATACTTAATTTAGAATTAATTGATTGAAGGAATTTATGTAGGTAATATTTTTAAATGATTTAAATACTAATATTTAATAAATAATATTTTTGAAAAATACAATTTATAAAATTAATAAATAAAATGCAAATTTTAATAGATATAATTAAAGAAATAAGATTTTGATATTCATATTTCGAAAATTAAAGTTAGTTTCAAACTATTTTTTAAGATTACATATGTTTCCTATTAAATATAAGATTATTAGATAGTGATGATGATTATTCGAATTCGAATGAAGGTATATATGATTTCATGTACCAATATAATGCTTTCTTTTCATCTTTGGTAGTACCGATCCCATAGAAATAACAATTCGCAAGACTAAATTGTCCACCACTATTTCCCCCTTCAGCTGACTGTATATACCATTGAAATGCTTTCTCATCATCGTTTGTAGTTCCAATACCAAGGTGATAACAATAACCAAGTTTATTCTGTCCATCAGTATTTCCTTCTTTAGCCAATTTCAAGTACCAGTGAAACATTTTCTCTTCATCTTTTGTTTTTTTAATTTCATTGTCTTCTGGCCGCGGAAGCAATTGTAAGTTTAAAGATTTATGGATGGATATTGTTAAATTAACCGTGGCAGCTAAATTATTTCCGGTGTAAAATGAGATTTCCGGAACTACATCATATGTAATTAATAAATAAAATTAGAGACATCAATTATTATTGTATTGAAAAAGTCCTAATGGTAGTGGTAATGAATGTAAATTAAGAATAATTATTAAATTATAATTTATTAAAAATTTATGAAAATTTACCAGAAACCTGACCACCGTACATGAGTTTTATCCAAAGGTCCTCATGCTGGGAGGAAAAGAAAATTCGATGACTCCCAAATTCAGTAGTGGAGTAGTATATTTGCAGTAGCATTGAAAAATTGGGAGAAGCCACAACCGGAAGAATGATCCCATATGGGCATTCCTTGTCAACAATATTGAAATATTTTTCAGTGCTTGCCTTTTCATTCCCAAGCATCACCCGTAAACAACCTTTGCGTCCATTAAGATTTTTTCTGGTTTAAGAAACATTAAGAGAAAAATAGATTAGAATGTGAGTATTTAATTTTTTTAAAGATTTAGTTTTAAAAAATTAATTAATACACTTTTATATTATCAATTATCATTATCCCAATCATTTGGCCACATAATGCTTTGAGTTGTCGCATTCGTTTTTTGGGCGCTTCCATTGCGAGAAACATGAGGTATAATGTTACCCCGCCAACATTTTCTTTATTCCGAAATAGTCCCAGTTGAACTTTTTAATAAAAACGATATTCATACCAATAAGAATTAAGTTATTAGTCAAATAATAATGATAAATATGTGATAACTAGACGTCATACCTTTTCTGCCATTGCCTACATCATTACCAGGTGACTCATTTTCATTAAGGGAGTCCCTGAGGGTGTCTCTAGTGTCACCCCAAATAGCATCGACATCATTTCCAACGTAACAAGTTACCTTGAATTCTTGGGCAACTTTGACAATAGGAAGGGTGATTGATTCAGTGTAATAAGCTTCCTTTCTTCCATCTTGACAATTTTCACTATTAATAAAAAATATGGAATGACATAAAAAAAATGAATCAAAGGAATTATCACCAATATTTAGGAATTCTTACAGCCGAGCGGGTTTGGTAGACCTTTCGTTATCCCCATATTGAACTGTTAAATAAATTTCTCTTTGGGGAAGAAATGGTAAAAATGTACGCCATTGGTTGATTGCAATTACATTCTGGTTTAAAGTACTATTATGTGTAAAGAATAAAAAGCAATTGAACAAAAAATAAAATTGGGTAAAAAGTAATATTTAGAACAGACTAAATATTTTTATTATTACCATTTAATGTTTTTCACTACTAAGATTCCAACTTTTTCTGCCATTATTGATAATATTTAATAATAATAAAAAAAGACATGATAAATTTTAATTTATATGAAATGAAAAAAATAAAAACAAAAGAGCAGTAACGCAAACAAAAAAAAAATAGTTACACTATTACAAAGACCATTTGAAGTATATGAGGTTTTTTGTTTACATATTTGTAACAACGTTTTCATTCTTTAATTGGGCTCGGACCGTCTAGTCACAAACACTTTTTAATTGACTTTAAATTGTTATTGTCCTATAAAAGTAACTTTTATTTGATTGGATTGCTTATCAAAATTATGGTAAATTTTTTGAAGAAGCATTTTATTTTTTTTTTTCGCGTTGGAATTTTTTTTTTTTTTGACTAAAAGAGTCCATAACCATAATTTCATGAGATATACTGATCAACTTGTTCCTTTAACAATCATCATTTCGTTTTTTGTAAGCTCATCGGCATAAAAAAAAAAAAAAATTTATTTTCGGTATTTGTAAAATTTGTATTTTTAAAATTCAAGTTAAAGAACTTTACAAATAATACATTTATCAATAATAACAAGATTCATCAGAAAAATGGTCATTAATAATTTTTTTTCAATTTTTTCAATTTATTCTTAATTTTATCCATTCTGTCTTGCAGTTTAATAAGCTCCGCAATGATATCTAGACTATGGATGTATCTGGTTCATATCATCATCATCATCACGATCAACAACAAAGAAATGATTCTAGCACTTGAACATTCAAGTGGATCTTTGTGCCAACACTTTTTCATCAATTCCATATAACATTGAGGTGTACTTTCTTTAATTTTGGTGAAATCCTTTAAGAATTTCTAAAGTTAATTAAAGATCGTATGCTCTGTCAGAAAATGATACCTTTCCTGTTGATATCACCTACATAATAATTCCAACACTATATATAAGCTTGAGAATATGGATTTCAATATCTCAGGTGCAATATATGGTAATGCACCATAAATTTTAGATGATGTAATTTCATCTACAGGTCTACAAATCCTAGATCTCCTAATCTTGTGAATTTTAAATCGTCATATGCTTCAGTAATCATTAGATTTCCAGGATGAAGATCACAATGAATAAATCCTTTGTTATGAATAGCACCCCTAAGATAAAAGAATATAATAACCATAATCTTCCAATCCATGATAATGTTTTATTTTGTTGAAGAAATTTTTTAAATTTCCATTTTTCATATATTGTAAAACTATTGCATATTCTTTTGTCATTGAATCATGGGAATATAAATTAAAATAAACATTATATATTTAATGTTAAATTTTTAACTCTTTACAAATTCAGAACTAATTGGTTGTGAATTTTTGAGTTTCTTCAAAGCAACTTGATTAGAATTATAGGTTTCCAACAATTCTTAAGGCATATCTATCCATTCTGCTTTCCAAACGGTGCTAAATGTTCCTTCATCTAAATATAATAACTCCACCTCCAAATTTTCCATTCATTTGCATTTTAATCTAACTTGTTATTTGAATAATGTATTTTAAAATTATACTTTCACGCAAAATTATTTTGGGGCCCCGAAATTGCAATTTCGGGGAAAAAAGTCGAAATAGTTTTTCATAGAAGACGAAA